TTGGCGCCCCATTAGGGTCGGCGCCCGGGGCGGCCGCCCTACCCGTCCTCCCCTAGCTACGCCTCTGGGACGATGTGAAATAAATCAATTTGGAGGAAAGATTAATTTTCGCTTGCGTGTTCGCGGGAGTAGGACTGGACGTCTGCAAGTAATGGACAGTTGGTTTGCTAACCACACACCTACGTATATAAATACAATGTACCCTATCGGAGGTAGACCATAGTTGGCGACAAGCGGCCAGACAGTTATCAGGAAAAATATTACATCTCTGAAAATGGGGAAAAAAAATTACATAACAGCTGGATAATATTGTCTACATATGTACACGTGATGAAATACAAAAAGTGAAACTATTTTTGAATTAATGGTGTGTCACCTCATCCCCCTCCCTCCTAACAGTTCAGTATTTTCGGTTTGGTGTCACCCCTTTTCGCTTTATATTTTATTATTTAAATAGGATAAATATTTTTTTTGTATTAATTTTATATTTGATTTCACCTCGTAAATGGAGTCAACCGATCACTGCTGTAAGCTAGCAAATACCCGCAATCAATCACCCTTTTACTTTACATTAACAATAAACCGGGAGTGATCTCCCCTAAACTTTCTCGAATATTCTTAGATAAAACAACAGGGGTTGGCAACTCGGGACATAGACAATATTTTAAATCCATTTTAAATACTTAAATTTTTTAAAATAGAATAAAATCTCGTGGAAAAAGAATTGCACACCAAGTGAACGCCAAATAAAGATGTGCATAATAGTGCGCAATATTATTAGTACTTTATAAATTTACATGGGTTTTTTTGAGAAATTGGAAATACGTAAATTACTAGTTCCGGTCAACGGAAATTACTCAAAATTTGATAGAATTTAGAGAATTAGATCTTTTACTTACATGTGAAATTTTATTTATCTATCTGAAATAGTACTCAAGTTATAGGCTTTTGAAAAATTTAAAGTAAAAAAAGTACCCCATCCGGTTATCGGAAAACGCTCAAAAGTTGATACCGAGCTACACACAGACACACACACACAAACACACGCACACACATACACACAGACATACGGACAAAATTATGTTTTTCCGTAACAGTGATTACAAGACTTTCTCTAACCTAATATATAAAAGCCCCTGTGCGCACTTCTCTCTCTCTCTATCTCTCTCTGTCCGCAAAATATTTTCGCCGGACATTACATCAGAATCTGTAGCAATATATGAAGAACTTTATACGGACTTTTGTTAAAAATAATATTTTAGATGTTTTAAATGCATAACCACAATTTTATTTAAAGAAGAAAAATATAAAATAAAGGCGTATTCGAATGTAGAAAAACAATTTTAATTATGCAACAGGAAAAGCATTTATATATGTGAAAAAGAACGCATAAAAACTGTGACGTCACTAATGTTTATACATTAACTAATGACGTCATCTGCCGTGTTTAGAATAAAAAGAAATGAACTATTTCATTCAAATTTGATTTAGATCTACGTACACTATGAAATGTATACAATACAATTTTTCCGGACTTAACTCATAAAATTTATTTTATTTATTTGGATTCTAGGTCTAGAGATTCTAGATTCTAGATCTAGACTAGATCTAAATCTACGCAATAACTAGACGTAGACGCTAAGATCTAGATTTAGACTCTAACTACACTAGAATCTATTCCAAAAATAAATTTCTATATTAGGACTAAACTATTTCAAGACTTAATTATTTTATACAAAATCTTTGTTTGGAACTGGCTAATTTGGGATAAAAAAAATAATTTGAAAGAATATGCATATTCGCGTAAGTTAAGATTTTAAAATAAGTCTTTCATTCTCCGCGTTTGCCTAAATAGCTGAGATGATAGTGTACGTAATTCCACTCAGGTGGTGCGAATTCGAGACACACCAAGTCAAACCTGATTTTTTTTTTTTTTTGCTCTGGCTAAACTTTAAATAACATATTTGCTTTTGGAACTAGTCCTCGATATTGCTTCGTTGAGGAGGAGATACGACTTAAAGCTGCGGACACACATCCATACATCGGACACACATCCAGAAATGACGAGTTAACAATCGCAATTGTCCGTATGGAAATTGCGCTAAAAAATTCTATTTGGATTCTAGATCTAAATATTCTAAAGCTAGATATTCTAGGTCATCTAGATCTAGAGATTCTAGATCTAGAGATTCTAGATCTAGATCTAGATGATCTAGATCTATGGAAAAACTAGACTTACACAGATGTAGACCCTACCTAGATCTAGAATCTATTCAAACAATACATTTCTATACAAAAGTATTTCAGGCCTTAATTACTTTATTGAAATCTTTGTTTATCTATGCAATTTGCTAATCTCTATAATATACTAGCCGTCCCGGCCAGGCCCTGCTCTGGCTTCTGTGAAAAACCTTTCTGTTAAAGACCATTACCTGTGTGTTTAGTAATCATCATAAACCCGGCATTGCCCACCCAAACCACAACCAACCAAAACAACAAAACGCAAACATAACGCTAACACAATTACAAATACAAACGAAAACAAAAACCTAACAACAAACCCAACCACCAACACCAATACCAACAAAAAAAACAACGAAACAGCAAACGAAAACAAACCAAATCCAAACGCAAAACCAACCAAAAACACAAATACAAACCCAAAGAAAAAAACACAAACAAAAACGAAAAAAGAAAGAACAAAAACGAACCAAATCAAAACGCAACCACTAACGCAAACCCACCTAAACACAAAGAAAACACTAACGCGAACATAAACGCCCGGGGCGGAATCACCTGTTTTAGCTTAATGAACGACTATAGTACCCCAACTTATTCATAGTCTTTTGCACTCACTTAAACGAACGCGCCTGTTTCAATGTAATGAACAATTTTAATACTCCAAGCTTATCCGTAAAATACCAACAACATTTGCACTTGATCAATCCCCGCTAATTATGTAATTATTTTTTTTTCCCAACACCAAAACAAAGTAATTAAAAAGTAAATTATTTTCCACAAAATGCAATGGTTTTATAAAGGGAAGTAATTTTGTTTTCCTAATTTATCAAAGGGAAGTAAGTGCTATAGGACTAAATAAAGACATAATTAGAATTTTTGTAAAAGATGATATTTTTTTAAAACTTGTGTTTAATGAACATGCCGACAATTATTACTATAATTTGAAAAATTAAAATTATTTCCCAACACTTTCAATAGTAATTTTTTAGCTCATAAATTTAGACAAATGCGCACGATAATTTTCTAACACTTAAATTCATCCAAGACCAACGACAAACATATGCATTACATACAGAACTGAGCTTTATATATTAGATAAAGCAAAGTTGTCGGGTGCCCGACAGGGCACTTCCCGGCGCCGCAGGCGCTTCAAATTTGGCAGGATCTTGCCTTGGGGCGACAGAACACGGGGGCCGGTTGGCCGAAAAGTCTACGATGAGGGGGTCAAAACTGACCTCGACTGACCGGCGCCTTATATGAGCTATAAATCGAAAAAAAAATTTTCCATAACTCCTGAGGTCGTAGACCGACCCTCGGGCGAATTAATTAAGCATTCAAATTCTCAATGTTTTCGAAAGCCTAAGCGAAGCTGGGCAGCATGCCTAGTACTTCGTATATACGAGAAAGTAAAAAGACCACATTCTTCCAGCGTTGAAAACGAAGACAAAAATGTATAGATTTAACTCACTATAGATAAAGACACAAAAAAAAACGATGATTCAGATTTAATAAAAGCTTTCAAAAACGAACGGAACAAATATAAGATACATTCACACCTCTTAATAAATTACACCAAAAAAAAAAAAGCGAAAGGAAACAACAAAGCGCGCTGTACGTCCGCGAAATTTTCTGATTAATAGGACTTTGATGTAAAAGACGCCTTTTTTGGCCCATACGAAAGTTATTAGCATGACAAGTATGAGCAGAACTTTAGGCAATTTATGGGCACTGCAGTTACGCCCTTGGTGCGTTTCGAAAGGAGCAAGGGAGACTTGTTAAGTCGTCGTTTCTTTAATCATTGCATGCGGACGTGACCCAAATACACATGCATTGGTTAATTAAATTATGACTTCTTACACGGGGACTCTCTTGTAGCCAAATAAATTCTCACTACGACAGGCGTCTTCGGCAGAAATTGCCTAGAGCGAAACTCAAGACTTGCGCAATGTTAAGGACTGCAGTTTGTATGGATTCCATCCTGATGGCACACCGCCTTGACGTGGTGGGATGGCTTGTGTGCCCCAGCGACCCCCAGCAGGTCTAACCATACCGAAGAAGTTTCCGTGGGTAGGGGCCAGACGGAACGGTGTGCCCTGAATTTCGTAACGGTGAGTAACGAGTTGGTGAGATAGGCAGCTCAAGAAGTATTCCCTCATACTTTTGTACTTTGAAAAAGTAAATAAAGTTAGAAACTGAATTTTAACCGTTCGTGCTTTTAAAAGAATTATTTTTGTTTATTGTTTTGTAAAATGTAATAGAAATAATAGACTGCTTCTTGGCAGAGGCGTAGCGAGGTGGGGGGGGGGGGGGTGCGGACCGCATAGGGTGACACCATTAAAGGGTTGACACTTGACACCAAGGCAAAAAAATAGCAAAATATATTTAAAAAAATTATAATTCCAATTTATTAAATGATACACTATAGTGAGTGTTAAATTGTCTTTTAAAGCAAAGTTGACAAATCCTGACAAATTGGGGAGGGGGGTGTGTGACACCATTAGGTGCCGCACCGGGTGACACCCGACCACGCTACGCCACTGTTTCTTGGAAAGCCTACATAGGTCTATATACTTCAACATTTATTTTTGTATAGATAATGCAACAAATAGGTAGCTCTCGGATCTTATTTTATTATACTAACCGTATTGAACAGTCAAAGGGGAAGTACTTATAGAATCTTTTATTTTTTTATTATTAGAGTTGTCACCCCTACTTTTTCAATTTATCGTTTTATTTTTTAAAAAGTTTTTTTTAGATCTGTAGAGTAGACCTTGATAATCTACATAGATCTAGATCTAGATCTAGATCTAGATCTAGGTAAGTTTCACTGTTGTTTTTTTTTATTTACATACTTGTCATTACACGCCGACTCCAGCGATCTAGATCTAGATCTAGATTCTAGATCTAGATTCTAGATCTAGAAATCTAGATCTAGATTCTAGATCTAGACCTCTACTCAGTCTGTGAGTCTAGTCTAGGCCCTAGGGCAGGGTCTAGATTAGTCTAGAAGAGTGACACTAGTGACTAGTGTCACTAGATCTAGATCTAGAATAGATATAAGATCTAGTTTGTATCACAGTAGTTAGTAGATCTAGCTAGGGCCTAGACTAGAGTATTCTTAATCCTAGAGCAGTAGATATCTAGATCTAGAATAGATATCTAGATCAAGAGTATTTTAGAGAATCTAACTATTCTAGCTAGTAGTCTAGATCTAATAAATATTGTAATATAACTCTTAACTATGATCATAATGATCTAGAAATCTAGTAACTAGACTATATTCTAGGGTGTTGGGAAATTGCGAGGCTCGAAAAGCAAAATGGCGAGGTGGAAGAATGCGAGAAGGGCGCGAAAACGGTCAGTCACGTGAATTTTTGTCTTAAAATACAAAGATATCTGCGAAAAATTTATCGCTCCTGAATTACAGTGGTATTTGATGCAGACCTCAAAGACGTTTTGTTTACAACTTTACATTGTTAAAACTTCCGATTTTTCCGTCGCTAGACATACTGATGATTTGTCAACTCCCCCCATCTTTTGTGTCAACTCAGAATACCACCTTGTTCGAAACCCCCCGCAATACAGCCGACGATAGATCAACTTCTGTCTTTTGTGTGGAACACCGAGGCTGCCTGATTTATTGTCTTTGAAAGAACACCATGCCCGAACGGGGAGGTCAACTGTGATGAGAATGTGACATGTTGTGAATGTGGATTGGAAGAAGTAGCCAAAGAAAAATGTATACATGGGAGTCTAATGAACTGGGTTGGATGTACTATGTGTGGAAGATGGTGTCACGAGATGTGTTTGAGTAGTGCTAGGACTGTTTTAGAAGATTTTGATTGTAAATTTTGTATATAATTAAAATTACTAAATAAAAAATAAATTACACATTTTAAAATTGTTTATCTATACTTTTACGCTTTCTGCAAGTACAACAATCCAGGAATACATGTGGCACAATATCTCTCCCGCTGACAAGATTATACCAGTTCATAATGACCCGGCACACGTTAGATTTTTAAAAACAATATAGACTGAGTCGGGATTTTCCTCTCGCTAACGAGAGCGGGCGATGGCAGAAGCACAGCAAGGATGTTAGAATTTTTTAAAGATCTATCTTAGTTTTAGTATCTTTCTTTCTATCTATACGTAATAATGAAAACTGGATAAAAAAATTACAACATACAACACTCGTGTTAAAGGGTACGAGCCGAACCGCGGCGTATCTTTAGCCGTTTTTTTTTTGTTTTTGTTTTATTATCTACTTTTCAGTAATTCATAATTTGTGAATTCGACAGTACCAACGCTGCCACTGAAAATATTTGTTTTAAAACACTATTAGTAGCTCGTTAAGGACGATATCCCCCCTCCTTTCCGCAACCCCTGCCCCACACTTCCCCCCCCCCCCCCCAGTGAAAGTAAACTCCTCTTAGTTACCTCCCCTAAGTTTAAAATAGTTTCAAACTAAATTATCTGCCCCTAATAGTCGTCACTAAACCCGGCTCTACAATTTAGCGTGAACCACAGCTCACCAGACCATGTAGGGGTGGGGGTAGTAAGGGAGCGCGCTTATAGTTTGGTGTTTTCTATTGTCTCCAAGAAGAGAAATATATATATATATATATATATATATATATATATATATATATATATATATATATATATATATATATATATATATATATATATAGGTGGTTATAAGCTTATGCTTGTTTAGTTTAAAACAAAAACAAACAATTTAAATTAACCAAACTTTTTTTCGCTGAAGGTGTCTAGCTATTTACCCGTGATTCCGCAGGTAGGTCTCGCATTTTCCCGCCTCGCCATTTCGCTTTTCGCGCCTCTCAATTTCCCAACACCCCATATTCTAGATCTAGATCTCTAAATAATAATTATCTAATATTAATATGTTAAAAATGAGATACAAAAACATATTAGGCATTATTAGTAGTAGGCCTATTTATTGCTTTAGAAATTTTTTAAATGTAGGCCTGGATCTATGTGCTGCATAGTCTTATTTTAATAATTTAATTTCTTTTTTTTTATTGCAGAAAAACATAAAAATGAAACTACTCGTCAGTAATCTTTTGGTTCTGACATTCTTTTTGGAAGCTGAGTGTCGAGAAGTAAACGCACCAGCTGGGAAGTTCCGTGGGTCAGTCCAGAAATCTCTTCAAGGTCAGCTTTATGTGGCGTTTCTGGGAATCCCCTTTGCTGAGCCACCCGTGGGGGAGCTCAGGTTTGCCAAGCCAAAGCCTTACCCCAAAATTAAAGTAAGTCTTAGGGGTTGTCCACAAATGCACTTGAAACCCTCGGCCCAGGGAGAGGAGAGGGGGAATGATGATGACTTATATTCCTAGGAGGACACTGGTTATAATATATATTTTCTATATAAATTATATATTTATACTCTTCTTCTTCTTCTTCGTTCTTAATTATTAGTGTTGAAGGGGATCGAGATTTATCTGCCAGTGGGTTTGAACTCGAGACTTTGTTCGAATTTATCAACCATGAGCTTTTTGCCGACTCGACCACGCCTCCAACACAATTAAGCGTTACGTGTCAACTGGTTATGCGCCATTGAGGCCATTGACTCCGATTTCAGCTTGCTTTTCTTTTTGGATTTGCTTCCATAGCCTTTGTCCAACCAAGAACAAACTACAAGGCAGCATTTGTTTTAATTTTGGAGTTGTCTCTCCTAGAAGAGTGGCTGTCCCCAGCTAACGAGCCTCATCTGCCCGAGGGCTCGAACTCGAGACTTTTCGGTTTAGCAACCATGAGCTTTACCGACTCGACCACGCCGATCCCTATATTTATACTGTTTTGTTTGGGGAAGGGTGTGGACTTACCCCTTCTCCCTCCCCTGAAGAGATGCTTGAAAGAATCGCTGCCCATCCACATTCTTGATTACAAGTCCAAAGTCCCTAATTGTCATTTATATATGGCTCTTTTTGAGAAATTAATTTACTTAAATTAATTTGGTCTTGTTTACTGAATAAATATGGTAAGACAACAAACATAAGCTATATATGCATGTTTTTTACACTGCAACTTCTAATGATAATGTTCAGCCATTCTTTAAAGGGTCTTCTATTAATGACATCATGCTTTTAAAATATTTTCTACCTCCCTCTCCAATTTCTATTGTCACAAAAAGTCAGCCTCTTCGCCCTTCGGATGTCACACCTCAACCTACCCCACTTAAAATTGCAACTGTGTTTTTTGACACATTGTCGCACAGTGACACAAGTTTGAACCTGTATTCCATTCTTCTTTGGATCATGAAGTCATTTATAAACAACCCATTTAAAATACAATGTACATTGGCTCTAACCTTTAGCTAATCTGGCACTGACAGAAAGGAGCCAGATTTTCATGGTTGCTTTTGATACATCTAGAAGATATAGATCAAGATATTAGATACTAGAGTACTTAACTTATATACTGCTATAGCTAGATTATTATTATTATGAAGTAAAAATTAAGTTCCCTTTTCAAGCCTGATGGTCCATGGGGAAATTACCATACATTGATGTATGTTTAGAGCAAACTAAACTTGCCATATGTTGTATTTATTAGGGTACATATGATGCCACAAAAACTCCGCCCATATGTATACAACCACAAGGTGTGGACTTGGGAGGTCCTGGCCAGGAAGATTGCCTGTACCTAAATGTCTACCTGCCAATTACTCCAATACAGGTAAGTTGTCAATAACTTAACTAAGCTCAGCTCTAGTTTTTTGGAGGCGTAGTTTAAATTTTATGTAAAAATGAAAATTTAAGTATACTGAAATTGCCTGAACTTTAATGTTGATGAACACTCATTTTCAAGCTCATTGATAGTTTTTGATAATTAATTTACATTGCATATATTTAGCTTTAAAAATAAATAGAAATAAAATTAAACTGAGTTAGAATTTAAGGATAAGCTTCACTTTTAAGGTTAAACACAATTGTATAAGATTCAATGTATAACTGAGCTCAGAAATTTAAAATCGTAAACTTACTTGAAAATGTGAGTTCTAGTTTTGAATGATTCTTTAACAGAGCTTAGAAATTTAAATTGTAAACTTACTTGAAAATGTGAGTTCTAGTTTTGAATGATTCTTTAACAGAGCTTAGAAATTTAAAATTGTAAACTTACTTGAAAATGTGAGTTCTAGTTTTGAATGATTCTTTAACAGAGCTTAGAAATTTAAAATTGTAAACTTACTTGAAAATGTGAGTTCTAGTTTTGAATGATTCTTTAACAGAGCTTAGAAATTTAAAATTGTAAACTTACTTGAAAATGTGAGTTCTAGTTTTGAATGATTCTTTAACAGAGCTTAGAAATTTAAAATTGTAAACTTACTTGAAAATGTGAGTTCTAGTTTTGAATGATTCTTTAACAGAGCTTAGAAATTTAAATTGTAAACTTACTTGAAAATGTGAGTTCTAGTTTTGAATGATTCTTTAACAGAGCTTAGAAATTTAAAATTGTAAACTTACTTGAAAATGTGAGTTCTAGTTTTGAATGATTCTTTAACAGAGCTTAGAAATTTAAAATTGTAAACTTACTTGAAAATGTGAGTTCTAGTTTTGAATGATTCTTTAACAGAGCTTAGAAATTTAAATTGTAAACTTACTTGAAAATGTGAGTTCTAGTTTTGAATGATTCTTTAACAGAGCTCAGAAATTTAAATTGTAAACTTACTTGAAAATGTGAGTTCTAGTTTTGAATGATTCTTTAATCTGTCCTCCATTGGACTTTACTAATTGACATTAATTAATTAATATCAATATTTAATAATTAAAATTAATATTTTAATTAAAGCTTATAATTCATATTGTAGGAAGACGAAAAACGACTAAGAAAAGTCTTTGTTTACATCCACGGAGGTTCATACTTCATGGGGTCAGCCAATGAATATGTTCCTGGTGATTTAGTCTCCATGGTAAAACTTACATTTTACATCTTTTAACCCATGTTATGTTTTTACTTTAAAAAAACTAGTTGGTCTTTGTTTTGTTTTTAATATGTCAAATATTTTAGACTTTTCACAACAAGAGTTCTGTTTTTTGTGATTCTTTGTGCTACAAACAAGTAGAGATTATTATTCTTCACTCCCCAGATTACAAAGGTGATCAAAGATATTCATTTAAGAAAATGCTTATTAAACAAAGACACATTTTTAAAATTGTATTAAAATATATTCTAATTATTGGCATTACTTTTTTAAAGGGCACATTTAAATAATAATAGCAATATTTACAAAGATTATTTCTTTCAATGCCTTTGGTAGACACAGGTACAGAAGATAGTCCAAGTAAAGACAAAACAGTTTTAACCAAATGAGATCTAAACCTACCAATTCACGCAGCACCAATTCGCCTTGACACGCTTTCATCAAGTCAGAAGTGTTACCACTCTAGCCATTTAGCCCCAGCTTTAAATTTTTAATTTTTAAATTGTTATTTCTGCAGCAAGTCCTGTTTCCAACCCTTCTACATCTCAATTATAACCACTCAATGCAGAATTTGCTGTCCATTTCTAATCAATTTCCTTACATAGCCTGATAGGCTAAAACACTTTAGTAGTTTAAAGACTCAGCTATGCATATCTTTTTAATCAAATTAACTAGTTTTAAATTATTCATGGTTATTGATGTAAAAAATGTCCATAGTTATTCTTTTTAAAAAGCTCAATAGGATACTTTTATTGTATGTTAACACATCCAGTAGCGTAGCGAGGGGGGGCGGGGACATATGTCCCCGTGCGCCGACCTTAGGGGGCGCCAAATTGAAAGTTTGAGGGGGGGGGGTGCAAATGAAAAGTTCGGGGGGGGGGGGGTGCAAATGAAAAGTTCGAGGGGGGGGGGGTGCAAATCGAAAGTTTGAGAGGGGGGGTGCAAATCGAAAATTTGCTCCCAAGGGGGCGCCAAATTGAAAGTATGTCCCCGGGCGCCGGGAAGGGTCGCTACGCCTCTGAACACATCTTTTCAAATTAATAATTATTTACTTATAAACTATTGTTCAAAATGCCACAATGTTTCTCTTAAGCCAAACCATTGATTTTGTTTTGTCTATTTGTAGGGCGATGTCATTGCTGTGACTTTTAACTACCTGAATTTGTTTTGTCTATTTGCAGGGTGATGTCATTGCTGTAACTTTTAACTACCTGATTTTGTTTTGTCTATTTGTAGGGTGATGTCATTGCTGTGACTTTTAACTACCTGATTTTGTTTTGTCTATTTGTAGGGTGATGTCATTGCTGTGACTTTTAACTACCTGATTTTGTTTTGTCTATTTGTAGGGTGATGTCATTGCTGTGACTTTTAACTACCTGATTTTGTTTTGTCTATTTGTAGGGTGATGTCATTGCTGTGACTTTAAACTACCTGAATTTGTTTTGTCTATTTGCAGGGTGATGTCATTGCTGTGACTTTTAACTACCTGATTTTGTTTTGTCTATTTGTAGGGTGATGTCATTGCTGTGACTTTTAACTACCTGATTTTGTTTTGTCTATTTGTAGGGTGATGTCGTTGCTGTGACTTTTAACTACCTGATTTTGTTTTGTCTATTTGTAGGGTGATGTCATTGCTGTGACTTTTAACTACCTGATTTTGTTTTGTCTATTTTGCAGGGCGATGTCATTGCTGTGACTTTTAACTACCTGATTTTGTTTTGTTTGTAGGGTGATGTCATTGCTGTGACTTTTAACTACCTGATTTTGTTTTGTCTATTTGCAGGGCGATGTCATTGCTGTGACTTTTAACTACCTGATTTTGTTTTGTCTATTTGTAGGGTGATGTCATTGTTGTGACTTTTAACTACCGCTTGTCCTGGCTTGGGTTCTTGAAGGGGGACACGCCCGAGTTGCCTGGCAACCAGGGCCTCTGGGACCAGCTGCTGGCTCTACAGTGGGTCAAGGACAACATCAAGGCCTTTGGGGGTGACCCTCACGACATCACCCTAGGGGGGAACTCCATGGGCGGGGAGAGCGTCTCGGCTTTGAGCATCATTCCTCAAGGTCGAGGTTTGTTTACCAAGGTAAGTTTATAATATAAATAACTACCATAATTTTCATCCAACAAGAAAGACTTTTTTTTCCCTCAAAAGTGGGTGGGGATATTCCTTGTGTCGTACAGAGTGCATGTACAATTTAGTTTATTTTTTATTTTTTTCCTTCTTAAATCCCCTCTATGAATCTCATAGAAAAACAAAATAAGTTACTTGATTTAATCTGGTTAGTTTTAGGCATGTTTTGTGTTGTAGCGTTTTTAAAATGTAAAAAATAAATTATATTGGCTTTTGCTTCCAAAGACTTATGTAGAAAAGCAATTTTGAAATTTACCACTAGATTTTCTTCTATGTGCTACACCTAGTTCCATGATATTATTTTTGTGAGCACAGTGCATGGCCTCGTTGGGCCTGTCATGTATGTTTCCTGGGCACTAGAAAACTTAAATGAAAACAATTTGTTGTCAAATCAAAATCATAAATCATAATGCTAAGGCTTAAACTTTTTTATTACATGACTTGACATTCTTTATTAACAATATCACATTCTATATTCACACAATTGTATTCTTTAGTTACCTTGTTGCCTTCTTTATTCCCCATATCATATTGTCTATTCAAACACACTTATTATTTATTCATCATATCAAGTACTGTATTTACCATATTACATTTTGTGTTAACCATATCAAGTTCTGTATTAACTTGATCACATTTTGTATTAACCATATCACAATCTGCACTAACCATATCACAATCTGCACTAATCATATCACATTCTGCACTAATTATATCACATTCTGTACTAATTATATCACATTCTGCACTAATTATATCACATTCTGCACTAACCATATCACAATCTGCACTAACCATATCACATTCTGTATTAAGTATATCAAGTTCTGTATTCACTTTATCAGATTCTGTATTAACCGTATCACATTCTTTATTAACCGTATCACATTCTTTATTAACTATATCACATTCTGTATTAACTATATCACATTCTGCACTAACCATATCACATTCTGCACTAACCATATCACATTGCTTATTCACTTTCAGGGCCTGATAATGAGTGGCACCATGTTTACCTGCCCCTCCACCCCAAAATCCTCCGACGTCCTTTTTGATCTTCTCACCACCAAAGTGGGCTGTGGAAACACAGCAGAAAATCCCAAAAACAACAGCGCCATTGTGGAATGTCTGCGCTATTTGCCAGCCAGCTCTTTCATCCTCCCATTGGAAGGGCACCTGACAAACAAGTTCACCACAATAGACGGGGAACTGTTCTCTGCTCCGATAGGAACCCTGATAGCTGACCAGTCGTACCTGGAGAGTGTAGGATTCTATGAGAGGAATTATATTGTCAGCCTAGTCAACAATGAGGGTGCTGTAGAGTATCATGGACCATTCCACATCGGCATGGGTAGTGTAGCATTTTTTATTTTTTTATTTTTTTTTATTTTGGTGGGGACTGGCGAGTAATATTTTGTTTGGGTCATGTAGTGTATTAATTTGTTGGGAACAGGGCATTATCCCCTCATCAATTACCCCCTGACATTATCCCCCCAGAGTAATTACCCCCCCCCCCCCCCCCTGTCAATTACCCCCGCCCAGTAGGACTAACCCCCGGGGAGGGTTAGGGTTATCGCTTGGGTTAGGGTTAGGGCTATGGCTAGGGTTAGGATTAGGGTTAGTGTTATGGTCAGGGTTATGGTTATTGCTAGGGTTTTGGGTTAGTGTTAGGGTTAGGGTTAGGGTTAGGCTTTAAAAACAATGTCTAGCATTGGTTTTGGTTTTGTGTTAAGTTTTAGGCTGATGTGAATGCTTAGGTTTTGCTCTTTTTCGTAAGTTGAGGATTAAGGTAAAATATAAGTATAGAATTTGAGTTTGAGTTAGGACTATTGGGGGGGGGGGGTAATGTCCTGTAGCCTAATTTGTTAGGGTACTGTGACATTATGTTCTGTTCACCTGATTTAATGACTGCTGTCATGCTCTTTTTATTTTGTATGCCTGTTAAAATGCAGAAATAGTATCAATACTATTTGAATTAAATGAATATTTTGAAAAAAAATTCTATGTAATATACTAAATTTAATGTTAATAAGATATCTTAAAAAAGAAACAATATATATTTTTTATTTAGGTAAATCCAGATAGATCTACATAATATTTATATTATTATTTTTCACTATAAAAATTTTAAACAAAACAAAAAGGTTACAATGACACTCTGCTCAATCAAGACAAGTTCACTGCTTGTAAAGACTTAAATTTCAACAAATTACCAATAAGCTGCTTTTATAGATTTAATGTTCACTTGCAATTTCTCCCATATGTTTTATAGACTTCATGTCTAATGACCAATCTATCCCATATGTTTTATAGACTTCATGTCTAATGACCAATCTATCCCATATGTTTTATAGACTTCATGTCTAATGACCAGCCTATCCCATATCTTTTATAGACTTCAAGTCTAATGACCAATCTATCCCATATGTTTTATAGACCTCATGTCCAATTACCAACCTATCCCATATCTTTTATAGACTTCATGTCTAATGACCAATCTATCCCATATCTTTTATAGACTTCATGTCCAATAGCCCCTTTACCGTGTGTCACGAGTTAACTCGTCATATAAAATCTTGGGCTTAACCGTACATCACGAGTTAACTCGTCTTCAGATAAAAAAGTCGTCTGTGTGCCGTGCGTCCCAAGTTAACTCGTCTTGAAAAATAGCATTGGAAATCAATTACAATGTAGAGGGAGGCTAATCTAACAGCAAATTCAACAGCGGATGATAAAAATAGGTCATCACGTGATGTGAAAACAAAAGTGGAAAAAAAACAATTACATCAATGTCAAATGTTGTTCCAGAGGCAGATGACTTAACAGCAGAGTTCCTGAGCCAGAAATTCCGTCTGCCGGTGCAGGTGTGCCAGTCAGTGCTGGACTGGTACAAGATGGCCAACAACTCCTACATCAGGCCTGGCTACGACATCCTGGGCGACCAGATCATTGGGCTCCCAGCCTTCAAGTTTCTTGAGACCTTCGCAGCTAACACTGAAAGTAGGTGGCTAAAGTCTTAAAAACTCTTGGCTACAAGAGCAGGAATGCTGTTCTATACTTTGAGGCATGGGACGGTGTGGCCTAGTGGTAGAGCACTAGTTTGCTATACAGTTAGGCATGGGATGGTGTGGCCTAGTGGTAGAGCACTAGTTTGCTATACAGTTAGGCATGGGATGGTGTGGCCTAGTGGTAGAGCACTAGTTTGCTATACAGTTAGGCATGGGATGGTGTGGCCTAGTGGTAGAGCACTAGTTTGCTATACAGTTAGGCATGGGATGGTGTGGCCTAGTGGTAGAGCACTAGTTTGCTATACAGTTAGGCATGGGACGGTGTGGCCTAGTGGTAGAGCACTAGTTTGCTATACAGTTAGGCATGGGACGGTGTGGCCTAGTGGTAGAGCACTAGTTTGCTATACAGTTAGGCATGGGACGGTGTGGCCTAGTGGTAGAGTGGGTGGTGTAAATATAATAACTTGGTAGTTCTTAAGGCTGAGGGAGTATCATTGTCATTTCTTAATGGTCATCGAACAACAAGTGAGCGCCATTTTCTCCTAATGCTAGCTATAACCTCTGCCTGTTTGACTGTTAATGTTAGGCCTCTTTCTTTCAACTCTTTCTCCATTGTTCTTCTCCATTGTTCTTCTCCATGTTTCTTTTTGCCGCTATTGTATTTTCTTGTCCATCTGAGGGCAGTCCTAGCCAATGTGTCTGCTCTCATCCTTAACACATGTCCCAGCCATCTCTGTGTTCTGTGTTTGATAACAACTATTGATTGTTGAATACATATTATTCTTTCTAATTCCTCATTTTACTTTTAAATATGAGTAATTGGTAGTATGGTTTATCTTTCCTGATTCCATGAGGAAGTATTATCATTTTCTATTATTGTACATAGTTATTTCCTCAATTAAATGACTAGCTAAGTTAAAAATATCCAAGACAAGTATTCTAAAATTCATATAAAGTATGAGATAGTGTTGTAGAGTATGGGGTTCAATTTTTTACCAGTAAAGTAAGTAGTTCCAGTTGAGACCTAGCGATCATTGGGCAGAATGCTTAGAGAGATGTCCATTTCAAGGAAATCATATTAAAAATAACTCTCTGTAGAAACCACACCATCCCTTCATATGCCGAGGAATGAACTCTACTTCAACTTTTATAAATTTCAGTTTCCTTTTAAAAAAAAATTTTGTATTAATTTTTTTTAAATGTGTACATTTTTTGCCTCATACATTTGTTGATAATTTTATTTTTGACTGAAATTTAGTTGACCAATATATTATGCTATTGTTAACTAAAATTTTATTGACTAATACTTTTTCACTATAAATTAGTTAACAAAAGATTTTTATAGATTAAGACATTGTTCTCTAAAAAATTTTTTTTAACTTCCTATTATTGATCAATCTATTGTTGACAAAAGGTATTGCTGACTAAGGTATTACTGATTAGGCTATAACTGATTAAGACATTATTGGCTAAAATATTACTCAAATATTTGCATTTATGATCTAACATTGCTGAAAAAGATATAGGCCTACTTAACAACACATTTTTACTGTACTATTTCTAGATACCATGGGAGAGTCTTTCTTCCTGTGGTTTGATCACTTCCCCAGTTACCTCCCCTCCACGCTACAGGGGATGCTGCATGGTGTTGATTTAACATACCTGTTTGACCTGGAGCCTAAAGACGTTCTACGCTTCTATTTCAACTTGAAAGGCACCAAAGATTTCACAGAAGAAGATTTCAAGCTGAAGCGTGTGTACATCAGAATGTTGACAGACTTCATGAGAAATATGTAAGTCATAGTTATCATCTTTTCATATTCGTACCTAAAACACATGGAGCAGATGAAGTAGAACTCATCTGTTTCAATGAACTGGGCACATAAGGTCAGCACTATGCCCATTAGCCTTTATTTCCCAAAAGTTAGCCAGGTACCCATCAGAGCTGGGTTGACTCTGGAATGTCCAGCAGACTTGAGCCCAGAATCCGAACTCAAGACTTTCAGGATAAAAGTAAAGTTCTCTTTCAAACCTGACGGTCTACGGGGCAAGTGAAGGGATAGTGTGGTCAGCACTATGCCCAGCCGCCTTTACTTAGGTACCAATCAGAGCTAGGTGGACTCAGGGATGGTCTACTGACTTGAACCCGGATTCGAACTCGAGACTTACGGGTTAGCAGTCCAGCTACTTTTGGGATAGGGACAGAGTGGTCTAGTGGTAGAGAGCTGGACTGCTAACCCGTAAGTCTCAAGTTCGAATCCGGGTTCAAGTTAGTAGATCGTCCCTGAGTCCACCCAACTCTGATGGGTACCTAACTCAGGTTAGGGTAAGTAAACGCGGCTGGGCATAGTGCTGACCACACTATCTCTTCATATGCCGAGGTCACAGAAACAAGTGAACTCTATGTCACTTGCCCCATAGACCGTCAGGTTTGAAAGGGAAACTTTACTTACTAATAGTAGTCTACCCTTGGCAAGGCCGTCTCATGTAAGTGATGCAGAGAAGTAAATCTGTTGAGGATTATAAATTTACCGAAAAATACAAAACAATAAAAGATAATATTTTTTTCAGAAGGATGATTTTACCCAGTGAATAAAAAACATTGCCTTTTTTGTGAATAAGAATTTTCGTTCTGGTTTGCTGACAAAAAACAGTATTTACCTGGTCTCTTTTACAAAAGGCTGTTAAAAATTAAAACAAATAATTTTAAGGGAAGTAACTCAATATAAACTTCTTTAAAACTGATTTATTCTTAGGTGATCTCCCATTAGTTCAAGTATTTATATAATATGCTCATTTTCTAGTCTATACATTGATCAGCTGGTCAGATAATCATCAGGGCTGAGTGGTATCATGATTCAACTTGATACATTTGGATTAGAAATAGCATACATCCCAAAATGTACCCCACCCATTCTAAACATTTGGTTTTTTAATTAAAAGTAATTTTATTTCCCTTCCTCAGCCACCCTGGATCTGTGTACAAGCAAGAATTTGATCTAGAGTGGCCCAAGTTTGACCTGGAGTCTGAGTTCTACCTGAACCTTGGGAGCCAGCCCAGCATCAAGCAGTTCCCTCTCTACTACAGGAGGAAGCTGTGGGATGTAGCGGTGCCGCAGTTGATGGAGGAGTATGCTGAGAGAGGTGGTACACAGGGCAAAGATGAGCTGTAGCATGTACCTGTGTAGATGTTTACCTGTGTAATTACATGTCTAACTGTTTACCTGTGTCTCTGTTTACCTATGTAGTTGTTTACCTTTTTAGTAATTTACCTGTCTAGTTGTTTACCTGTCTAATAATTTACCTGTTTTATTGCTTACCTGTCTAGCTGTTTACCTGTCTAGCTGTTTACCTGTTTTATTGCTTACCTGTCTAGCTGTTTACCTGTCTAGCTGTTTACCTGTCTAGCTGTTTACCTGTTTTATTGTTTACCTGTCTAGCTGTTTACCTGTTGAGCTGTTTACCTGTTTTATTGTTTACCTGTCTAGCTGTTTACCTGTTGAGCTGTTTACCTGTCTTGTTTACCTGTCTAGCTGTTTACCTGTCTAGCTGTTTACCTGTTGAGCTGTTTACCTATCTTGTTGTTTACCTATCTAGCTGTTTACCTGTTGAGCTGTTTACCTGTCTTGTTGTTTAGCTGTTTACCTAATTGTTTACCTCTGTAGCTGTTTACCTGTCTAGTTGTTTAGTTGTTTACCCGTCTATACCTCCACGCTTCTAACTATACACTTTTGTCACGCCAAAGGTTGTTTTTTAATCAGAGGTTGTTTTTTTAATTATACATTTTTAATTGGAACATTTTTTATATACAAGATTTTTAAAATAGAATTCTGGCAATTCTTTAATCAATGTATGCCAGGTACTAAATAAGCTGCCTATAGCCATGGCTGTTAGCTAGCCCACAACAAGGCAGATTCTGGTCTTATTGGTCTTTGAACCAGCAACAAATGAGACATTACAGTGCATGGGAGGGTGATGAAAACCAAATTAGACAAAATGCTTATTTATAAACCTAATTCTATCATATGTAGCATATAGTTATATCTCAAAGAGTTGAGCCAAAAAAATTAGAATTGGCCAAAAATTTCCTGCCATTGCCATGGTGATGGTGGCCATCTTGGAGTTTTTTTAGCATTTTAACATTAAAATATCTTTCTTAATTATTATTAAAATTGATCAAAAATTTTTTTAGTTATTCTGTTTACATGTACCAACATAACTGATAGAACACATGTTTGAAAATTTGTTTGGTTTTGTTTTACAGTTAAAATGGGTTTTTTTTGCACACATTTAGATTTTTTAAAAGTGATTTTCAGATATTTTTTTTTGTAAAAACAAATGTATTTTAAAATATTAAAATGTAATCTATTAGAATTGTTACCAACATGCATCTCTATAATCCTGCAAGATTTAATTGAATTTGCCTAAGCCATCTTTGAATTATTTCAATGTTAAAAAGGTAAACTGAATTTTTTATTTTTAGACTTAATTCTTTGAGTTATAACTATATACAAGAAATGATAGCGTTAGGTTTTTAAATGAACATTGTGGCTAATTTGGTTTTCATCACCTGCCCATGCCCTTAAGTGATTACTTCAACACCATTTGTAGACAAATGTAGATAAGATATTGTACAACCAGATCAGTATTACCAGACAATGTTCAAGTCCAATGGGACCAAATATGTTATCCCCCCTTTTTTTTGGTTGTAAAATATGCATGTGTGGTTGTGTGTGTTTATTGCTGTCATATCCTCAAAGTTTGAGACCAACTAAGTGAATTTGTTGCATGCTTAACAAGGATTTTTATGTGGTTTTATGTGGTACTTAATTTTGTATTTATTAATTTTGAGATGAATGTCAGAAGAGAGAAAAATTAGTGCATGATATATTGTAACCATTTATGTAATTGTATCATTTTTTGTGTGAGAAATTTTTTATTCACATTTATCACAGAATTTATTGTATGTAAAAAAAAAGTGTTACAAAGACTGCCTTAATGTTGAAAATACATATTTTTTTATGAAGATTTGTAGTGACTCATCTTGGTTGTTTTTTTGTTGTTTTTTTTAAAAGTGAAGTACCCTATAAGAACCTGGTGGTTCATGGAGCAAGTGAAGTAGAGTTCACCTGTTTCTGTTACCTCTGCATATGAAAGTGTAGTGTTGTCAGCACTATGCCCAGCCGTCTTTACCTAAGTTAGGTATAAATCAGAGCTAAGTGAACTCGGGGACATTTCAATGATTTGTACCCAGATTCGAACTCAAGACTTTTTGATTAGCCATCTACTGCTCTACCGCTAGGCCACGCTGTCCCTTTTTGTTTTGTAAAATATTGCCTTTACGCACTCTCCCCTTATTCTAGATTATTCTAACCTATTTCTATCTAACCTACAACTGACCTGTAACACCTTAAATTAGTAACAATTATGGAGTTTGTGAGTAAATTATTTACAAAACATGTAGGCCCCTATAGCCTGCAGTTACCAGTTTTACCTAACTAATTCTATTGATCATAGTTGACTACCCAAATTAACATCGTATGTGTTGTTTTAACTGAAATAGAGTTCCCAAGAATTTTGTTCCATAGTGTGGCCTGAATACCCTGTCTTGAACTACTTAATCATAATATTGGAGTGGATTTCCTCCAACACAACCAAGTATTACATGTCGAGATGTTATACACCTCAAGGCCTTTTGACTCTGATTTACCTTTCTGGATTTGCTTACATAGCTTTTGTCTACCCAAGAACAAACTACAAGGCAGCAGTTGTTTGATTTTGTAGTTGTCTCTTTAAATATAAACTTATTTGCTTTTACTAACTTATTAATAGAAACTTATATTTTTTTACAGAAACTTATTTTTTTTTATAGAAACTTAGTTTAAAAAAAAATAAAAACTTTGTTTTTTTTATATAGAAACTTAGATTTTTAAAATAGAAACAGTTTTTTTTTGAACGCCTGAATACTGCAAGCTTTGAAAAAATATGTGAGATACTGTATGCTTAAGCAAGGTAGTCAGAAAGTAGTTAACTATTTACAATTTATTCCAAATCTAATGACCCCTTAAGAATTTATGTTTCATTTGCTTCAAATCCATCAAAATGTATGTATTCAATGCGTAAAATACATCGTCCCTGAGTCTAGCCGCTAGACTCAGGGACTGATGGGCACCTAACTAACGTAGGGGAAAATAGGCGGCTTGGTGTAGTGCTGACCACACCATCCGTTCATAAGCAAAGGTCAAGACAAATATCCTCACTATTTCATCTGCGCTAAGGATCTTTTTAACTTAAATCTATCGGCCTTTATTTACCCTGCTTAAAATTCATCGTCCACGTTTATTCCTTGGTGTATATTCATAGGTCCCCATTTATCCTGATTCATACATTGGTCCCCGATTAACTTTGGTCCCCATTTATCCTGATTCATACTTAGATCCCTTATTAACTTAGGTCCCCATTTATCCTGATTCATACATTGGTCCCCGATTAACTTTGGCCTGAAATCCACTGACCCCGATTATCCTGCTTCAAATCCACCGGCTCCAATTATCATTAGCCTCACATGCATTGCCTCATATTTTCCCTTTTTAATTTGTTTCTTTTACTCTAAGACAATTTTTTTTGTGGTGTGAATGGCTAGCTATAAATCTTCATAGTTGTATACATCAATTGACAGGGACACCCACTAAATCACTCGATGTTTTTCAGCGGTAATTGGATTAATTAATCTCACAGTAGGACTTGACTAGGTACAACCTATGTGGAAAATGATGTTTTGTGGGTAAAAATCAATGGAAAAAGGGGAACTAACTTATATCATTAAATAATGATTAATTTTAGGCTTAATTAAGTAATTAAGTCAAATAACGGCCTATGTGATGTACCAGGGGCAGTGGTAGAGGGATGGGGGCAGTGTTTATTCCGGACTTTTTTCTCCGGGGGAGGGGGGGGGGGCACTTGAAATTTTCGGGGGGGGGGGGGGTCGACTAAAATTTTGGGAGGGGGGGGGAGGGGGCGGACACTGTTCACAGTGTTAAAAGTATACATTTTCTATGTTAATTCCATTTCGTTCGGTGGGGGGGGGGTATACTTTCTTCGCCCCCCCCCCCACCCGATGAGATGCCTGGAAGAAACTCTGGAAACTCACAGAAGTGAGAGTATGTTAAAAAAAGTCACATGTAGTGATAGGAATATGAATAATCATAACAAAACTTCCACGTGAAAGTCATAACTTTACACATAATCTGTATGATGATTTCTCGAATCATGTAGTTTGGCAGTAAAGTAATGGCTGCATGTCTTTTGACAGTCGGTCTCTGGTCATCGGCTTTCTACTTTGTCGGCTTTTTTTTGTCCTCGCCAGCCTTAATAGCCATGTCGGCGTTTTGTCATGATTTCCTTTTTCTTTGAAGTGATTCGTGTTGTAAATAAGGTTGAAATATTGTTACGATGTATGGGGGGGGGGGGGGGGGGGGGGGGAGGACGACGACATTCAACACAGAAAAAAACTACTCAATGTCCTTCGCAATACGCCGTAAAGTATTAAAGGCTGTAAATACTACATAGACTTACTGTCGGCAATGTAAGACTTCAACGAGATTTTTTTTTTAATTGTCTGAACCCCCCCCCCCCCCCTCTCCTCTCACTATTATCAACTACAAAATGATTCTACCCTGAAATGTAATTTGATATTGCAAGTTCTAATGTACGTTTACTTTCTTTCATGTCTGAGACATCAAAATGATCAGGGCACCATTCAGGCATGTTCTTTTTAGGAGGTGGGGGAGGGGGTTCGCTTAGATTTCTGGGGTGAGGGTGGGTGCGGTGAACGCCTATCCTCCCCTACTAACCCCCCCCCCCCCCCCAAGAATTGCCGGAAAAAAAACTCTTGGCCTATATATATATATATGTATGTATATATATATATATATATATATATATATATATATATATATATATATATATATATATATATATATATATATATATATATATATATATATACTATAAGAATTGTCAGAATGCTAAATTTTATTTTTATATCTTTCAATATTTTGAAATTGAAGCTATAAAGTGAGAGGAAACCAATAGCAATAAACGTATCGCGTTAATCAAGGTTATGGTCTAAACCCATAGTAGCCAACACTCAGACTTCGTCCCTGGTTGGTACTCTCTATGCCTACAAGTGACTATTGGTGAAAAAAGATTATGATGAAACATGTAATGGGTGTTTCTTTACAAATTAGCCTATTACAAACATGCAATGAAACATACGAGTGTCGAGTCTCGCTGAAAATAAATACAAACCGATTCAGAGTATGGCATTCAAACACGCACTTTTACTGAATATAAAAAAAACTAACAAAATTACACGTAGAATAATAAAATTGTATAGTAGATTATTTAGTAGAAGATTATAACAAACAGAACAAAAATTGGTTAAAGGCAATCCGTTTTGAAGTTCTAGTTTATAATTTTTTTTTTAATTATGGGGTCATCCATAAATGACGTCACGCTTTTTTGACGATTTTTACCTCCCTCCTCCCCTCCGTCACACGTCGTCACAAAAAGCCAGACCCCCCCCCCCTTAAATGACATCACACCTCAACCTACAACCCCCCCCCCCCTCAAAATTGCAGTTGAATTTTTTTTAAACAGCGATATTTTGCCAAAAACTTGTCTAAACTATTAAAATTTTTTAAAACAATGATCTAAAACGCGAAATAACGTCTAAAATTCGTTTTCTAACATTGCTTTTTTATAATTCAAAAATGTGACGTCGCAACATCTGAACCCCCCCCCCCTCCCCCTAATCACACATCGTCACAAAATTACGGACCTCCCCTCCCCCTACGAGTGCCTACGAGTGTGACGTCATTTATGGATGACCCCTATGGGCATATTAGTCTGGTAATAGGCTACTTGTTTAAAAAAATATGTCCAATATTCCATCGCAAAACTTTTATTGTGATTTTTTTATTGGTTGCATCCGTGAATAGTTTCGAATCTTTTCGAATGGTGTATACAATTTTTTTTTTTTTATTGGCAAGATTTTGAGAACAAATTACGATAAAGTGGGGTTTTCAGAAGATTGATTACGAAGTTCGTGTACAGTCAATTCTTCTGTTTTAATTCATCACTAGTGTCGATAAAAAAAAACAACCTAATTTTAATTATATTCTTTAAATTAAAAGGCAATTTAAAAAAAAATAATTAAGACCCTTTTCTTTGCATGTACGTTATCATCCGTTAGCGGTTATGTCCATTACATATGGATTATTTGTTTGTAGAACACAGTTTTTTTTAAAGCCTAGTTCGTTTTACGACTATTTGACTTCAATCCGATTGTTAGGAAATGGTAATAACAATAGTTATGTATCAGTTGGGCGATTTTTTAAATCAAATTAATTTTCAGAATCATTTTTTTTTTTTACTTTTGAAAAAGGAATATCAAGTTTAAA